TCTTACAAAAGTACATGCTTCACAGTTAAGTTGTTGGAAGTTAAATTCTTTTGAACAGTGATAGCCAGCACAAGTCGAAGTGATGATGTACTAATTACAGGAGCATAGGTCTCAAAGTAATCATACCTGGCTTCTGTTCAAAGTCACAAGCAACCAATCTAGCTTTGTAAACAGTGTTTCGTTTGATGCGCAACACCCATTTACAGGATATTGGCTTTTCATCCTTTGGCAAGTTGACTAACTCCCACACTTTATTTTTATTAAGAGAAGCTATTTCCTCATCCATGGCTTTCCTCCATAGGACTTGCTCTTCTGTTGGCAATGATGTTATATCCTCATATGTTACTGTATCAACAGTTGCCACATTAGCTTCATACACAAAGTAATCATTCAACTTTACAGGATAATTTTATATTTCTTCTTTGCCTTAGTAATTTCTTCATGACTTTCTTCCAAGATTTCTGGATTCTACATCACTTGAATCACATATTACTTTCATCCTTAGCAGGATCTTTACTTTCTACGGGAAAAATCATCTTGAACTGAGATACATTTCTTTTTCTCTTCAATTGAACAACACATTTCGAGAAACCACAACATGATTTGTGACTGGGTCCAGTAAACGAATAACCCATGGTAGAGTATCCAATAAAAATCACGTTCTTTTTTGATTTTGGATCCAATTTCTTTCCTAAAGTTATCAGGAACTCTCATGTATGCATCAGATCCAAACACCTTAATAATATTCAAATCAGGCGGCTTCCCATATTTGAGCTTATAAGGTACATTTTCAACAGTCTGATTTGGAATTTCTATCTTAAGATATGCAGCTGTCTGTACAGCATAGCCCCAGAAGGATTTAGAAAGCTTTGCTTCACATATTAGAGCACGGGCCTTCTCTAAAAGATATCTGTTGGCTCTCTCAGCCACACCATTTAAAGGAGGTGAATATGGAGGAGCAGGATCTATCATAACACCATTTTTCTTGCAATAACGAGCTAGTTCACCAGACACGTATTCCTTGGCATTATCACACCGAATTTTGTAGACATCAGGATTCTGCTTTAGGAACAATTTAAAACACTTCATTTTATGTCACTCTTGTGCTTTAAGAGATGCACTTCAGTAAATCTAGAAAAATCGTCTATGATTGTAGCAAAATACTTTTCACCTTCCCTAGTGGGTGGATCAATGGGACCACATATGTCAGTGTGTACCATTCTCATCGGCACATGCTCTCTGCTTCTAGGACCTTTGTTCATAGGAGTGTTCGAATGTTTTGCTAATATGCACTCTTCACAAAAGCTTGAAGGTGACTCAGATACTGGCAAACCCATTTCTTTTAATATTTTATCAGATGAGTGCCCCATGCGCCTGTGCCATAATTCTGCACTATGATTTGCAATGTATGTTGAAGTTTTAACAGGTTCAAATTGACTCGCATACTGTCCTTTCTCATTGAGTTTAGCAAACTTAAATTTTTCTTTCCTCTTTTCAATAACAGCTACATCATTCTTAAAATTTACACTGTAACCTGCTTTTTGAATATTCTTCACAGATATTAATTGACCATTCAACTCAGGCACATATAACACATCTTTAAGTAATATTTTCTCTTCCACTTAATGTTCCAGGTACTGTATCAATACCTTCTACCTTTAAAACTTCATTTTTTGAAGCACATGCAAACAGTTCCAGAAAAAGGTTTAATTTCTTCAAACCACTCACCTTTATTACACATGTGTGTAGATGCTCCAGAATCCAGAATGAAATTTCCAACAGGCTCACCTACCATGAATGTTACTGCAGCCGATTCTCTATAATCTGATTTATACTTAAATCTACAATCCTTCCTGTAATGCCCTGGGCGTCCACATCCAAAACAAACTAATTTTTTCTTGCAAAGCCTGGCAATATGACCTTTACTTTTACATTTGTGGCAGATGATATCACGCTTATCAGCGCTAAAAGTTACGTTATTACTTGAGCCAGAAATACGAGAATCGCAAGAATTTCTCTCACCTTGCAATTCTTCAGCATTCAAGAGCCTTTGCATAACAAAGTCCAGCGTAAGCATTTCATTTGGCTGGTTCTCAATCGTCGATTTAATAATGTCGTACTCAGAAGGTAGCGACATCAACAAATAAATAATCACATCCATATCTTTGACTTCAGCATCCTAAAGCCACAGTTCATTTACGATAGCCAACAGTTCGTTTATATGTGACTGCATACTGCAATCTCGGCGTTTCTTCAGTGTTGATAATTTCTTTCGTACTAATATCTGACTAACTGCACTCACCTTATGGTATTTTATTCTTTAAACTGCTCCAAATTTCACATGCAGAAGATTCACTTGACATGGTCTCCAATATGGCATCATCTAGAAGGGTTAGCAGCAATGCGTAAGCCTTTTTGCATCTTTGATTTCAGCAACTTTCGTTTCATCCGCTTCAACGTCTAAATATTTATCATGTTCTTTGGCTGCAAACACAGCTTCTACACGGCACTTAAACAGAGAAAAGTTTTTACCGTTTACCACGGCTCAACACAATACTTTGTGTTCTCATCACGTGCTGCCATTTCAAATTTCACTTAACGCGCGATTCCGTTCTAAACAAATAAGTTCCACAAAACAAATATAAATGCTTTGTCTCTAGCGTGTTCAATATCAGAACCACGCTCTGCTGTAAAGATTTAAAAAAAAAAGGTGAATCAGAGGCCGATGATAATTAAGTAGAGGCTTTAAGCAAAAGTATAAAACAGTTACGGTTAAAATACAGGACATTAAAACAAGAACGGGGAGTGCGTGTGATTATTCTCAACATTTTTAGAATTTGAAAAGAAGTAAAAAACTCGAATAAACTTTGTGATTTTAAAGGTAGGTGTTGCTATTGCCTAAAATAAAATGGTTTTTATTTTCCACGCTCAGGTCTCTTTCCATTCGTCAAAGCGTAAGGTATTTAATTTTTTTTTTTTTTTTTTTTTTTTCAAATTTAATTTAACCGTTATTCGGTAACAACTAAGCAACTTAAAAGCAATAATTGAAGTTCTATACTTTTTTTAATTAACTGTTTTATACGGATAGTTATTTTAAAATTTAGACATAAAAAATACGTCTGTTTTGACACATATAAAGGCACACCCTTTGATCTCTTTTGAAACAAGTATTAAAAAATATCAAGTCGGCTATTTTCTACTTTTCAAAAATAACATACTGCACTTCAGTTTGAGTAGAGGGGATGTTTTGCTTCTATATTTGCTTCACGTGATTCTGCCATGTTATGACATCATTTATACATAACGCTATTTCTCAAATAGTTATTTTAATTATTTATTTAAGTTTGCTAGAGAAATACTCTAAATTTTATAAATATTAATTCTTTCCTGTTTTTTAAAGAGCAGTATTGCATTTTCTATTCATTCCATTTTATTAGTCTAAAAACAGCAGGTTTTAAAAACTGATTAGAGGTTAAGGCTATTTGCGATGAAATCTACTGTCTGAAATGGGAAAAGTTTTAAAAAAAAAAAAAAAAAATTACAGAGTGAGAAAATTGTTTTTTTTTTTTTTTTTTTTCCCCCATTTATAAACTTACATTCATTTTTCTCAGCATTTCTTTTTAAAAGCTGATTGTCTTATTTTTATAGTGAAATGTAATATTATATTCTTTGATAAGACATCGTAATTATAGTTAGGTAAGATAGGCAAAGCAGATTTCACCATGGGGCAAAATAGTATCATAATGCTTCTTTAGCGGAAATGGAGGGAATGTAACAAGGTAATTAATTGTCCATGTTAGGCTAAGAAAACATACATAAATTTATTTATCAGAAATTATGTACATAAATATGAACATAAAATTAGAAAAAATATATATTATTGTAAGGTTATAAATAGTCCCCACTAAATGAAATGAAAATCTAAATGATATTTTGTGAGAAGTGTGATTCTTATGCAATTAACTCAGCAACCCAGTTACGAGAAGTAGAAAACGTTTATAGTGGTGTGGGTATGTTGTATATATCAGCTAAAATCTACATACCAATATATACTAAGGATAACCTATCTGGTTTTTCTTCTAACAAACATTAAGTGTATGATTTCTATATGAATGTATAAGTGATAGTTTCTGTTCCAGAATTCCATCAATTCAGATAACTGAGAAAATATTTCTGAGTACTTTTATATTGCTGCATGAATCAGATTACCATTTGTTAAAAATATCGATAATTATTTTTTTGCTTTCAAATTTAGTGTATTCTTAAAACTGTATTATTTTTCAGAAATGATAAAGCTCCTAGCTGAGAGATCGATGCCATACATTTTTGACATCCGTGATGCAAAAGGCCATATTCCTTTAGACATTGCTTGTCTATATCATTGCCCAGAAGCTGTTCGGATTCTCTTGGCACAAGGCAAGAGTGTATTTGGAAAAGGTGACCGACAGGTTTTAATAAGTACTCTAAATAACAGCAAAGCATACAAGTATGCTATTCCAATGATATCTCTGCTTTTAGACGCTGGTGCAAACGTAAGTAGCGAAATCAAATCAGTATTTTAAGTGATAAATGTTTAGTATTAATTTTCAAGCAATATATGTCTTTGCTCAGATATACCTAACCAATTCAAATTTCCGAATTGATGTATAAATTTAATGAATTCAAAGTACCTATACGTTATTTTTACGCTATGGAATTAATTATTTGTCAAGATTAACGCATAATTCTAGTTTTCTGGAACTCATTTCAGCAGCCAATGAATTCTGTTTTCAGGAGAAAGCGTTGAAACTAATGAAGCAAATTTCAAGTGCTAAATATTATTTATTTTGATGAAACTATGCTTACCAAACATTTTAAAAAAAAGCTTTTTAGGAAACTTTCTACAGATCAAAGAATGCACAGAAACATCACAATATTATAATGGAAACTCTGAGAATATTTCTGTTATTACATTCTGATATCTATTTGTCTATCTTCTGATGTGACAGCTCAATTACATGTAGGAAACACACAGGAAAAGGGTAAAATGAACCCTTTTATTAACTCTTTAAAATTTACAATGCGTAGACTTCACACTGACACATTACATCTCACTCAGGCGATATCTCAAATAATAACTAAACTAAATATTTGAAGATATTAACAAGTAGTAGAACTACAGGGCTCAGATAATCATATTACCTGAAATTGGATCGAAATCTAGTGGCAGCATAGCTGTTATGCCACATTAACCTGCAATTAATGCAAAATAACGCTACATAGATACAGCGCTTGCCCACGGTCTGTAATTTTCCCTTCTAGAACTTAATACTTATAAATTTGAATTACATCACGCGCGTTACCGAATTTAAATATTCGGGCATTGACAGAGGATTGAAGGCTTATAAAGAAAGTAAACTTAAAATTTAATTGGTTATTTAAAATAAATATAAATCCCTACAGTAGCCTCTGCCAGAATTTAGCAGACTTTGATGAAGGTTCTCAAAGACCTGATGCAAAGTGTTGAATTTTACACCTAACAGGCCCTGATCCCGTTTACACGCAAGTATTAAACTTTAACTTAAATACAACACAAATTTTAATTTCTTTTCCTAATTTCTTCCGCCGTACTTGCCTCATTAGGGCCTTCAGTCTTACTATGAATACATGTTTCTATCCAACAACAAATAGCACTTTATTTTCACAATAAATTAACCCTTTTATTGAGTTTCTAACCATCTTTTGTATTTACGGTAGCGTTCTTTAGTTTTCCGAATATTACGGGTAATGTACTCATAATACATTCGTGCTTTTATTTAAATTTAAATCACCTTCACCCACAAAGTGTGGTGAAACATTATGGAAACGCAAGTACTATATGTCAAAGTGAACAACCGCTCCACCTAAATGCACATAAACTTGTTAGCACATAGCAACCATTAGATAGACACACTCTAAATCCAATTCTTAATTCTATATGAGCTAGCAAAAATGAACATTAACTAGAGTATAGATGGAGAGCCCTGCAGAACACTACATTTTTTCTTAAACACATGCAAGCTTTTGCTCAAGATAAATCCTTGAATACATTACAATATGAGGCTTTAGCACTAAATACTCATTATACACTCACGTTGTGAAAATTGCAACACCATGAAGGACTACGCGAGTGAGCTGAAATTTTCAGGAAATGCAAAGTAGCGCATGATATGCAAATGATAGAATTGCAAATCCGTAGCGCATGCGTATGCTGAGCAGCGCCTCTGAACAGCTGATGGATCCGAATAAATAGACGGCTGTAGCGAGGCGTGTATGGGTTATCGGTGGTTATCTGCTAGTGGTAAACGTTAACTCATCTGTACTTATGCCTCGTCGACGAAAGAGAGGCGCGAGATTTGAACAATTTACAGAGTTTGAACGAGGGAGAATCATCGGCCTTCGTGAAGCTGGATTGTCGTATCGTGCAGTAGCCTCTCGTGTGCAGCGTAACAGCAGCACAGTGATGCGTGTTTGGAAGCAGTGGACGGACGAGTGTCGGACAACTCGGAAATCCGGGAGTGGACCCCGAAATGTGACGTCAGCTCGCGATGATAGACACCTGGTCCGCATGGCGCGGACGGACCGTACGCTTCCTCTAGACAATTGGCAGCACTATGGTCAATAGCTACAGGTGTTTCATTGTGTGCTTCATCAATTCGTAGACGTCTGCTGCAGTGTGGACTGCGTGCACGGACTCCTTTATACAGGATCCCCCTAACGCATGACCATCGCCGCCTGCGGCTACAATGGGCCAATCAGCATAGAGACTGGCGTGCTGATTGGCAGCATGTCGTGTTTTCTGACGAATCCCGCTTTAATTTGTGGTACCATGATACCACCGGCATAGCAGACGCTATGCCGGTGAACGCCACCTTCCGGAGTGCATTATCGAACGCCACAGTGGACGAACACCCGGAGTTATGGTCTGGGGCGTCATAGCATATCATAGACGATCTCAATTGCTACGAATTGTGGGCAATCTGAACAGCAACCGGTATATCCGTGAAGTTCTACAGCCCGAAGCTGTTCCCTTCCTTCAAAGCTTGCCAGGCGCTGTATTTCAACAGGACAATGGCCCGCCCTCGTACTGCTCGGATTGTTAAATCCTTCTTTGCAGCGCAGCAGGTACAGCTTCTTCCTTGGCCTGCGTGTTCCCCGGATATGTCGCCAATTGAACATGTGTGGGATGTCATTGGTCGGCGTCCTTGCTCGTGATCCTCGTCCTGTTGCGTCTGCAGACGAACTTTGAGTACGCGTACAAACGATATGGAATGCTCTTCCTCAGTCAGACATTCAACTTTGTTTGACTCCATGCCACGTCGTGTAGCAGCACTTATTGCGGCGCGTGGTGGCCACACAAAATACTGATTCTGATGTCTTGTTCTTGTTTGTTTGCTTTGAACATTTAATCATTTATTTGTACCACTACCACTCAACGTGTATTAAATTGCATTCAATTATGACGATTCCTTCTTGTGTTGCAATTTTCACAAACGTGAGTGTATATGCTCTTTGAGTTGTGAGCTTTTACCACAACAGAGAATAAAATGAAAATTTTGCTTGAATCCATTTCTCGCCAAACGTGCGAAACTAAAATCAAATTTTCATTAAGCTGCTTGTATCAACCCAGAACTTTTGGCGGTTTAACACAAATACTAACTACTTGGACTTTCCATTAACATTGCATTTTTAGAATACAATATTGCTTTGTGTTTTTGCCAAATAAAACTAAAATAACTTTAGCCGTCAACCGAGGCAAATTGACTTCGTAAATTCGTATTTGAAAATTTTCATATAACTTTACAAAACAGAAAATATTTATTGAAAAGTTCACTTATCTTTGTTTTCCTTTGCTTGATAAACTGCCATCCTTTTGCTACAAAAGTCTTTCCAGATCACATTGTTGTTCACACGATGCGATCTTCAATCTCTGCTTTCTGCTTCTGCTGGTTATGATAATATTGTCTAAGTACACTGCTCGACATTGAAAATGCAACACCAAGAAGGAGTGGTCAGAAATTTATGCAAATTTTAGAGTAGAGGCATGTCGCTGAGTTATGCGAACGATGTAAAATGCGCAGCTCTCCAACACACGTGAAGTAAGATATAAGGGAATGAGCGTGCAAAATGGTCAATATTCGTGTCATTACTTCTGCCAGACGAATTATCGAAGAAAGTTGGTTTTTGTCAAGGAGGATACGTGTAAGAGGAGAGAATGCCAGGCCGCTGTCAACGAAGGCACTTCCAGCAGATAGACGATTTTACGAGGGGTATGGTGATTGGACTGAGAAGGGCGGTTTGGTCCTTACGTCAAATCATAGCTGATATCCACATCAATGCGAGCACGGTGCATGGGCTATGGCGAACATGGATGGAACCAGGAAATGTGGGAAGAAAGAGGGGTGCAGGGGCAGCCAGAGTGACGTCAGCACGCGTGGATCGACGCATCCGCCGACAAGCTGAGGCGGTCCCGCAAGTCACTTGTACTGCGATTCTGCAGCATGTGCAAGATACCCTGCATGTTCCCGTGTCGAACAGAACCATTTTCCGTTGATTGGTTGCACGTGGCCTGCACTCACGCCGTCTGTTAAGAAGACTGCCATTGACCCCACAACATAGACTCCAACGTCTAAAATGGTGCCGGTCTGGAGCGATGTGGATGACAGAATGGCAAAAACGTCGTGTTCTCAGATGAGTCACGCTTCTGTTTATCCAGTGATAGTCGCCGCATACGTGTGTGGAGTCGACGTGGAGACAGATCTAATCCGGCAGTAATTGTGGAACGTACCACCGCGTGACGATGTGGCATAGTGGTTTTGTGCTATTGCCTACAGTTCCAGATCACCTCTAGTTCATATTCAGGGTGCTATGACGGCCCAACGATACTTCGATAATGTACTGTGGCCAGTGGCAATCCCCTACCTTCAGATGCTGCCTAATGCAATTTTTCAGCAGGATAACTCCCGACACGCAGTGCTGGCATCTGCCAACATGCTCTGCAAGGTATACTGATGCTTCCCTGGCCACCGTATTCTCCTGACCTGTCACCAATCGAAAATGTGTGGGATGTGATTGGACGCTGTTTGCAGACTCTGCCCCTGCCTCGTTCAAAAGACGAACTGTGGCAAATGGTTGAAAGGGAATGGAGAGCCATCCCTCTGGACACCATCCGCACTCTTATTGACTCTATGCCTAGACATCTTTCTTTGTGCATTGCTGTCCGTGGTGGTCCTACATCGTACTGAGCTGATGCCATTCTCGCTCTGTATTCTATCATTTTGAAATAAAGATCGCTTATTGCTGCTTGCTGTCTCTGTCTTTTTTCCAAATTTTTTTCACTTTCTGACCACTCTTTCTTGGTGTTGCATTTTCAGTGTCGAGCAGCATACATACAGAATTTTTATTATTTAATATATTTAAAAATAGTACATAGCGATAATGACGGCAGCAATTTGAAAAGTGATTCGGATAAAATGTGGTGTTAATGAAAATAAATAAATATGCAGAGTATCAGTTTCCTCCTTAATAGAATTTCACCTAATTTTAAATTTTAATCAGATTAGCTTTTTTATTCGTCTCTGCTAATAACATTCATTTCATCAAGTATTGTTTACTTAATCATCTTCTCTGCAGTTTATTTATTTTCTAAACTTTTGAAATTGGGGAGACTTGTCATTCGAAAATTAGTTATCGATTTTCCCAGCCTGTCTCTTTCTCTCTCTATGTATACATCAGAATGGATTTGTCCATGTTCTTTATGATGAATACCGGCAATGTTTTCCTCAGTAATTTATTTTTAATGAATAGATGGCATTCTTTCGGAACACTCTTCTTCACTGAATTTCGATAGATTGCTCATGAGTAAGACTTTATTGGGATCAGAATTATTTATTTATTATTTTATGTTTCATTAACTTTTTGTGATAATTTATTTAACTATTTTTATTCTAATATTTTAATTTACATTATATTTTAATGTCCAATTTTCTTCTCAGATTGACGCTGCCGACGAATCTGGGAGAACACCAATGGTAACTGCTTTAAGACGCGAACTGGTAGGTGCAGCAAATTCCACTGCAGATCAAATCATTTGTATACAGATATTTCCATGCTTTTGATAGACCGAGGATGTGATGTTAATATTCCTTGGTTGATGGGTGAAACTGCTCTGCATATTGCTGCTCAAATAAACCACGAAACTTTAGTTAGAAAACTTCTTATTTCTGGAAGTCACATTGACAGACGTGATGGGTTTGGGCCCCCATTGTACTATGCGTGTAAAAATGGAAAACAGACAATAGTTCATTTACTCAGAATTTGCGGTGCTAATTTATGGGCCGAAGATTGGGAACATCACTTCGAATTCTGGAGATGGAGGGAAGAATTAAATGAGAAAAACCATCAGCTATTAAATTATGTTTTTAGTGAATCGAAGAAGTGTCTTACCTTACAGAACCTTTGCAATGCAGCTATTAGAAATATAGGAAAATATTCCACTGAACTCGGATTACCATCATTGCTGGTTAAATGACTACTATTTCTAGACTGATGGAAATATGTAGTGTAATTTATGGATATGTACTTAAAATTGAAGTTTATAAGTTTGCAATTGATATGTGATTTCTAATTATGATTAAATGTCTGAGGTATAAAATGTAATAAAATAGAAAAAATATATATTTATACGTTATATATTTTACGAGTCTGTTATTTAATTTACTGTTTGGCATTGAAAATGTATTTGTTATTCCTTTCAGGAAATACTGTTGTATGTTTATAACAACACAAAGAAGCTATAATAATAAGATGTACATAATCTATGTTTAGAAGAAAAAAACTTTGCTCAAATGAAAATGTATATATAAATTTTCAAAACAATAACAAGACTATCAAACTCATTATTAGTTAAAATTACAAGCAGAAAAATAAATGTTAATAATACTGAAACAAACAGGTATCAGCGCAATTCGCACACATTAGCAGGACAAGTTTCGAAGCTTTAAATAGCCTCTCGTGCTTATTCTTCTCTGCATTACAATCTCTAAAATACCATGAGGCTCTTATGTTATAAAATAATTCCATCAAAAATTAAATCATCCTTTTTTCGTAGAATTATATTCGAATCTACTGCAATAACAAAACCAAGACCTAATTATTTTTCTCTGTTACACAGACAACTGTACCAAAGAGTAAGGAGTTCATTCTGGGTGATAAGATTCCTCGCATTTCATTATTCTCCAGCACTGATTTGTCTATCTACTCTGTCTTGTCTATCTACTGCTACTATCTGAGCTCCTCCACAGCAAATGCTCATCGGTTTTATGCCATAACAGTTTACTTTGGCAATGGTGGTTTTATTAAAATCCGCTCGGTTGTTAGTGAACCACACATACACAAACACATTATATTATTAAATTATATTTACATGTCGTTTATAAAGTGTAATTCACGGCAATTTAATCATGGAGCGTTATAAAATATTCTACGAAATTACTTTGCTTCGTAGACTTTTTGTAAGCTTCATCATAAAGAGAATCTCAATGCTAATTCCATATCCAAGCCGTTTATGTGTCGTATTTTTTCTGCTGTGAAAATATTTAGAGAATTATTTCACATAATTATAGGTGAAAATGCAGTTTTATTAATGAAGAATTTAAGGATAAGAAGAGAATTAAGTCCCTTTCTAATAATTCTTGAAGCATTTAAATTTTTAAAAAATGGCACATTAATACGGATTACTGAAATAAAGTGCTGAATAGAGAACAGATTAATTAGCAAACAAATTTAATTTTCATTGAGTAAAAGCAATTCATTTGCATTCTATAAGAAAGCACATTCCCAAAAAATATTTTTGTATTCTCGCAAACATTATATATATATATATTTTGAATATTCAGATATTCCAATCCATTGTAATCAGTAATAAATTAATATAGTAAATAATTTAAAAAATTAAAGGGAATTTTAATTCATTTTAACCCCCTTCGCGCCGACTGTCACGTATACGTGCCAGCAACGAACGCACTTACCTACCGGCCGACACGCAGGCGTGCCAGAGGATTGTTCCATTCTCTACCGACTGTTACGTATTTGTGCCAGTACTTTGGAACGTTTTTTTCAAACTATAATTTCTGCCACAAGATGGCACCGTATGTCCATATGGTTTCAGATACATGTAAATTAGACCTTCTACTCGAAATGAGAGAAGCATGACTCGCATACATGTGTTTTTGATTATATAAACAAACGGGGAAATAAAGGTTTCCGAATGGCGTGATTTATGACGTCTCTTTAAATCGCACTTTATTTGCACGTGGTAGTTGTTTACTGTAAGTAGAGAAGTTTTATTTGCTCTAAAGCGTTGGGTATTTCGGTTTGCAGTTCAGTTTTTAGAAAATAATTAGATCTTGTTAGACGTGAATTCTTTGTTTTTACCGTTGCAATGTCGAAGCGTCGAAAATGTTTAACAGAGCATGAAATAGCAGAAATGATGCAAAATATTTCATATATTGATTCTGATATTCTGATATGGATTCTGAAAGATTAACTGAAAGACATTTTCCAAAACTTTGTTCAGAAGAGACTGATAAGAAAATGAGACGACGATGCTTCGTTTGTTCACATTCCCAGAAAAATCCTCCAAAACGGGAAATGAGTTATTACGAGTGCAAGGAATGTAACGTAGGACTGTGTGTAGATCCCTGTTTTCAAATTTTTCATACGAAAAGAGAATTTTAAGTAATATATTTAGTTTTCAGATGTATAATGTTAAAATTCATAAAATGGTGAGTAATTAAAATAAAATGTGTAAAATATGCATTTAAACAAGAAATGAGGTAATTAAAGTATATATATAAAAATAATTATAAAGCATAAGCCGTTTAAATACTCTATAGAGCATTATTAAACAATGCGTTGATACTTCGGAAATTTCATGGATTTAGGCTTAGTAGCAAAAAAGCCACCAGCCCTGGAGAGCGCTCGCGTAAGACACTGCCGACCTCAGCGATAAGCGCGCGTTTTCGCTACCCGGCTCGAAGGGGTTAGTTGCCATTTTCCCTCTAATAAACCCCTCTTCAGAGTTCAATAGCAGTTGATCTGCTTTTTTGAACCCAGGATGTTATCATTTGCTGATGAGAATAGATGCCTACAGTCAACGAGAAGCTGATAGTTAATAAACTCTAATATTTATTTGAAGAAAAAATTATGTATCCAAATTTGTCAAGCCCTATTGCATACATACAGAAATATTTATTCTCGTAATTACAAATACATATAAGTTATTCCCTTCGTAATTTTCGAGATATATATTTAAATTTCTAATTAAAAAATCTTTTGAAAGGAACGTCATATTTTAAAATTATTATTTAGTAATACGTTTATAATGGCTTTTATATTTACGACAGATATTTCCCCCTCATTACTCAGGCTCACTGTATTCAAGTCGATAAGACCAATGAGTGGAAAGATCGATTTGTTAATTCATTCCTAGTTTCAAATCGGTTGAATGGACTCGCGGTGTAAGCAACAGTGAGGTATAAAAATTTTAAGAAAGGGTTCATACTTTGTGTTATGAAAACAAAATATCAGAATCTAACTAAATGTTTCACTTCTTAGAAAAATAGCAGATACAAATATTTATGAATAAAAATAAAATATCTTTAAAAAAATGTAATTTAAATTTGCAAGAATATAAATATTTACAAAATATCGCATAAATGACATAAAACAGCGGAATAAACTTATTCGGCATAAACTTGGTAAATGTAAAATAGATTGTGCAGTCAGAAAGCTCTCTTTGTCACAGAAATGTACTATTCATCAGGTTTAAAGCTTGCTCAACTAACGTGCGAAGTTCAGTGAGTAATATGTATTTTCCTTTGAAGGAATCAGCTAGCCAAAAAAGGGGGGGAATTAGATGCAAATTTAACAAATAGATTAAACGAGCTGTCTTACAGCCTACCACTGTGTGTAAGCATTTTCGTGGATTTCCTTAAGGCAATGTAAATATGAATCCATTTTCCCTAGAAAAATTCTCCATGAAACCATGCCTCGCCCAAACTCTCATACTTTGCCATATTCAATTAAATAAGCATACAAAATCATTCTTAAGATGATTAATTAATTAATTTTATGTTAGAAGATACCAATCGTTTCAAAAACTAGGATACTTTCCGTAAACAATTAGTGCTAGTTTATGCTGTTCAACTGGAATTCATACCTGTCAACTTTTACGAAAAGGCGTTTGTCTTTACGATCGTAATCCATTTTTTACGATTTTTTTCCTTTTTCAAGTGTTTTTAGTGATTTTTGTCAAAATTTTAGAATTTTTCGCCAATTGCATCGTGTTTTACCGCCAACTACCGACTACTTCGAATCCAGTAACCTGCGGTTTCTCCCAACTCGCCACTTAACCAGCCAATCCAATGCGCTGAACTTGTTTCTCCCACTCTTTTCTTTGTGGGCGCCAGATTATTTTTTTAGCGTGGATTGTCGCATTCTGTTTTTTTTTTTTTTTTTTTTTTGTTCGTTTGTTTGTTTGCACGTGCTACGAATTTTCTTAATACGTCGTTGTTATGAAATGAGTTAAAAAAAAACGTATTCTCAATATTTTCGGCCTGCCTACAAAGCTGAATTTCCAACAATTAAAGAATCCTTCAAAGGAAATAACTATGCATTTTGCAACGTGTGCGTGTGTGACTTCATAATAAGTCACGGTCGAAGAAGCGACATTGTGAAGCATGTTAAGTCTAAAAAGCATGAAGTTAATGCTTTGGCTTCGACAACGTCAAAGTGGATTATTTTTTTTCGAATTCGGATGCCGATGTCATTTTGGCAGAGTGTTTGTTTACTGCATTCCTCATCGAACATAACGTGCCGCTAAGCGCTGCCGATCACGCCGGTCAACTTTTCAGACGGATGTTTCCCGACTCCAAGATTGCTCAGAAATATGCTTGTGCTCGCACGAAAACATCTTCTATTGTGAACGAAATTGCTTGCGATGCGCAAAGTAAAACGATAGCTGCACTCCAGAATTCAGCATTTTCGGTGTCAATCGATGGCAGCAACGACAGCGATTGGAAGCTTTACCCCATCGTTGTCACATATTTCTGTGATGTTTCTAATGAAATGAAAACTCATCTTTTGCGTTTTCCATTGTTAAATTGAGACGCTACGGGGGAAAATATTGCCTCCTTGGTAATTAATGAGTTGAAACAACTTAACATCTTTTAAATGCTGAAGTGACAAATTTAAAACAAATTGAAAATTAATCTTTTTAAAAGATTCGTTTATTTTTATTGATAAATTTCCATTTTTGTTAACAATTAAAGAAAATGAATGCCATAATGATGCTTTAGATGAACTACAGAACCAATTTTCTGCTGCACAGTTTGAAGACTTTGCCAGTTCTGGAGAAGATAGACTTGATGTCCTCGTTGGTACCTTAAAAAGAATAAAAAAAGCTGATGGATCACCAAAGTATAGACTAGCAAGAGTTTTATGTGCTATTCTCGTAATTCCACATAGTAATGCTGAGTGCGAGAGAGTCTTCAGTGTTGTGAAGAAAAACAAAACTATGTTTCGTTCTTCCTTCATTTCACCCAAAACTCTAGAAAGCATTTTAATTGCTAAATGTTATGAGGAAACTAATTGTTATGACAGGAAATTTTCCAAAGAATTTTGGCTAAA